GGAAGACTGTGCCTGCCGCTTTACCCTTAACCTCCTTTGATGTGGGCGAGACGTTTTCAAAAAGTTAAGTTCTGTCCAGATGCCAAGTGGCCATTATCCTGGCGGGGTCTAATCCAAGGCCTTTCCTTCCAGGCTCACTTTTTTTCCTTTCCCTTCCAACTAGCACATCTCAGCCAAACCGGGAGCACCGCCCCAGCCAGCTGTCTCCGCCCGAGGTGGCTTCCCAAAGGATGCTGGTGATGGAGCTGCGGAGCCTTAACCCTCCCAAGCCGGGTGCCCTGATGTCTCTCCCTCCCCAGGGCTGCTGGCTGGACTCTGAAAACTCCCTTCAGTAAAGGGATCGGTCTTCACAGGCAATGGCTGGTACTTGTCCTTCAGCCTGGGGTGGCAGCTCTTGCTAGCAGCTGGGTTCACTCCCACTTCATCTACGCTGAAGGCAGTGCTGTGCTTTGAAATGTAGCCAACGAATACCCAATCTACTTGGATTTGGGTGGACCAGCAGTGCTCTCCAGAGAGGTGTGGCCCACTTTGGGGGTTCCAGGTGGTATTACATGTCCATTTCATGCTTTGGGGGCTCTTAGTCCCACCAAACACCTTTAGCAGAGCCTTGATTAAAAGGAAACCTGCAGACTCTCCTGGTGACCGAGCTTTCCTTTCTGTCCCCTCTCCAAGACTGATGGCTGGGAGGGGTTGTGGGGAAGTGGTAGAAAACTGTCAACCCTGGGCAGGGTTGGGAAGAAACACACAGATACTACCAAATTTAAATAAGCATTTAATTAGGATTTCATTAGTATTTAATATTGCTTCTTCAATTCCAAAATGTTAAATTTTCACTTCTTAGCAGATATTTTAAAGTACAATATTGTTTATACAAAATGAGCAATTAAGCAAACACCATTATTTCACATTCTTCAAAAATACAAATTCATATTTATTCATTTTTGGATTTGAAGGTTTCTTCCTTTGGAAGTACTGAACCTGTAATGTTTTCATATCGCTCAGTGGAAGTCTGTTGTTCCCATGTTTCACACTTAAATAAACTTGATAGACTTTTACATAATCCAAATAAAACTATTTAGGACTTTAAAAACTGTCACCAAGATTACCAGCCAATGATTAGTGTGTGTCAAAAAAGGCTCTCGGGGACTCTCGCCTTTCCTGGCTAGATTTCTGCCAGAGTCTGAACATAAACTTGATTCTAGCCATCTTCTGGAAAGAGACTAGGGGAAGTTCAAAGGCAAAGGCAACAGCTATCTTGAACTCTGACCCCACCCCCACTTTCTCCAAAACACAACAAAAGATGTAGACCATTGAGTCAAACAGCCTTTGAGAGGCCTGAGAACATGTGAGGAAAAGGGCAAGAGAAGCCTCTGACTTGGCACCACTACAAGGACAAGGATATTGCAAAAAACACTCCTGGGTTTTGGTGAAAAAAGGTTTTATGAAAAAATTTCCCCATAAGAAAAAGTAGAAACTGCATTGAGCTGAGAAAGTGACAATTATCAACCAATTTTTGGCCCAGTGGGCACACCACCAAAAGGGTAGTGTGTGGTTTTAAACCTCATTTCCAGTAAAAGAAAGAAAAAGCTTGTACTATGTACACCTTGACATAAAGGTCCAGTTTAATTTGCATTCTTCAATGCAGACTGAGAAGAGTAACAGAAATGCCCAGAGTGATCCTTAGTGTCCCCAGAGAGCATGAGAAGAAACAAGGACCCTTCCCCTCTTCCCCTCACAAAAATATGCATGAAGAAACAGGCTAAATAGACTGACCAATCAGAAATACACATTACTGGATCTTACTGCCAACCCTGCACCCCTAAATGTTAAGGAATAGACAATTTCCTGTCTGTCCAGGAGAACCACTTGCACATAGCATCTACAGAAATCTTTCTGCTTTGGTGAAGTGTATTTAAAACTTCAGGAGTCTAGAGCCTGAAAATTAGGTGAAGATTAAATGGGAGGAGTGGTAAAGGAGAAGGAAGAAAGTTGATAAAACAGATTATTAACTTTCCAGAAGCCTTTTTTCTTAGAACCAACCCAGATGATATGAAAAGCAGTACAGAAATGATTCATGTTGCCCTGAACCCGACCCCTCCCCAAACATATTCTGATTGGTGATATTAGAAAATTGTAAACTGTTGAGCAATATTGTTGCGGTTCCACAAATCAATGGTTTCAGTGACACTGGAGAAGTCTTTAAGGACAATGGACACGATTACAAATATAAAAGTCTAGAAGGTGCCAGGTTTCTACCTAGGAACAACCTGTTCCTTCCTTTCAGGCATCATTTTGTAATGGTGAAGAGGGGAAAGATGGCTAGGGACCAAGAAGTGAAAAAGGGCCTCAACAGTCAGCTGGAGAAAACAACACCCACAGCAGTTCTTCCGAGAGCCTGAGGGGGCGCCCTGGGGCACACAGGGAAGGCTTGCATAGATTGAGCAGTTGCTGAGGATGCATAATAGTGTTTCCCTACAGACAGCCTCGTAGCACAGGCTGAGAGAGTGGAAAAACATGGCCAGGCCAGGGCCACATGGGACGACGACCATCAAGCTACACATATTGCACCAAGTTAAGTGCTTTCTTTTCACACCTCAATTTTACTTTTTATTCTGAGCAAAAAATAAAATTTTGTGGAAAGTATATGTATATATGTGTATATCTAAATATACACACACAACAGAAATTGCAGCAATTGGGTTAAAGATAAAATAACCTAAAGTGCTTTTTATTTTATTATTTCTTTAATATACCAATATGAGGTTCTGCAAACTTGTCCCTCTGGACACATTCAACATTATACAAGTCTTAGGAAAACCCACCTACCCTGCATTATCCTCATCAGTCCACTGTCTTGAACCTGAAAATGACTCTCCAATCTGCTGACTCTCCCAGAGGTTGTAATGAGCAGCCCCTTGCCTTTCTACCCAGAGGATTCACCTCTCCAGGACTCTCCTGGGCTTTGTACCATAATCTCCTAAAGGGGGGTGGGATTCAATAAATGACACCCCTACTGCACCAAACTATTGAGGCCCGCATGAGACTGGCAAGACCCTTTCAGGGGAGACTGAGCCATTGCCCTCAGTGCTCCACCCACCTACCTGGGAAAGACCCAGTTCATGCAGGCAATTTGGTGGCACCTGCTAGTTTCCTTACCACCTCCTCCTAAGTCCACAAACTTCTCTCCTTGGTGCTGACTAGCAGCATCCTAGAAGGGCAGTCTAACTAGAGTTGCTAGTGGGAGCCAGAGCATAGGCCTACCAGGTGAAAATGGTTATGGTTACCATGGGGAGAAGAAAAGGCTTGATGCTACCTGCTAAAATTACCCAAGGTTCATTTCTGGGTTTGGGAAATCACACTCTTTATGAAAGTTCTTTCTACCTCCAGTATAGCCATGGGCCTGTCTTATCCAAGGTCCCTGACACTGGAGCCCGAGGCTGTGGAAGGATGGGAAGGGAAGGAGCATAGGAAGGGAAGGAAGGGAGGTCTGCCTACCCTGTAGAATAAACCTGCACTGCTAAGCACTGGAAGCACATTCCTGATTTATCAAAAGCTGATCAGATCTGATAGCCTCTTTTGTAATCCAAACCACACACAAAAGGCAGATACTTCACCTTCTTCAATTAGAAAAATCTATCAGTCTAAATACTGTTTTAACATGTATCTTCACCACCTCTGTGGAGAGTGGAAAAGGCAGTCACCTTAAGGGCTCAATATAAGGACAGCCCTGGCTTACCAAGAAGCAACATTTAACCCACAGATGCTTCACCTACCCTCTGAGCCCCTACTTTCCACCTCATGGCCCAGGAACCAGCATCACAGGTCATCACAGGATGGGCATGTGGGAAGGTCATAACTACCATCTGCCACAGCTAATGCTGAGGTCCGATCCACTGCTTTCATGTCCAAGTTCAAAGCTTCCAATTGGTGTAAGGCCTAGCGACAGCCAGGACAACCGTCACTTGCACTTGGTTTTCCAGAAAGACTGGCCCTGTGGTAGAAGATTCCTCCTGCCTTACCAACTCTGCTGAGGTCAATGGGTGCCAAAAACCACCAGTCTTTGGGGGCAGAGAGTATAAAAGTTTTAAAAAAATCAGTTCTGAAACTGGGAAGGGTGGGGGAAAGGTAATAAGGGAGAGGAAAACAAATACGAGAAAATGAAAAAATGGAAATAAAGTGTTTGTAATGGGGAGGAGAGGAGGGGGCGAAGGGAGGGCAGGGACAAGAGGAAAAAATGAGAATCAAGACCTATTATGTAAAGGTACAAGATCCCAATGATGAATGTAACTGTATTGTACACCTAGATTATACCAATAAACTCAATAAAAAGAAAAAAAATCAGTTCTGTCTAAACTTCTGGAATGACAAATCAGCTGCTTGAATTTAAGCCCATTTCTCCTCATGGCAGTAACAGCATTACCAAAACGACCCTCTTGTCCAAGCTTGTCCCTGTACATCCTTGCTAAAGGCAGGGTCTCTGGCTCCAAGGTGAGTGATATGCCTCCAAGGTAAGCTCAGAGCAGGAAAGGGACCAGTGTGGATCTCTCACTGGCTGGCTCTCACTCCCTTGTTTATGGAAATTTGCTCCTTGCTGGAGGTAAGGAAAGAGTTCTTGAGAGGGAGGCCTGTTCCTCATTGAACCATGCCTAGTTTCTGAGCTTGGTGTGCCCTCATGACTACATTAAGTAGCCAGGTGAGGGAAACTTTCAATTCTAGTGTGCACTGTATTTTACATTTTCTGAGGCAATGACTTGGAGCCAAAGGCAGACAGATGGATATAATTCTACACACACACACACACACACACACACACTCTCTCTCTCTCTCTCTCTCTCTCTCTCTCACTCACTTTCCTATAACACAACTTAATGAAACATTCCAAATGAGACAACTTATTGCAACATTTCAGGCTTTTTGGTGGAAGGGGAATTTTTTTGTTTTACCCTGAGTAGAAGATCATCGTTTTTTGTTTTTTTGTTTTTGTTTTTTTTTGTTCTTTTTTATTTAGAAATCACATAACTAAGTTGAGCAAGTCACAATGTTTGCACTGTACTAGGCTGTATGCAAAATCCAGAAGGGTGGAGATGGAAAAGGCAACCAAAGTCTGGCTAGAACCTAGAACCAGAACACCTGGGCTGCCCATTATCCGCCACCTCCTACAAGTTCCCTTCAATCTGCCCCTTCTACGAACAAGCACGATTTAGCCCTTCTGCTCTGAAGAAAACTGCATTCAAAGGAAGGCAGACCACAGGCTAGAAAGTGGCCCTCAGCCACATGTTCACTCTAGGACAAAACAGAGATGTTCCTCAAGGAAAGCTCACTGTGACCTGCAAGCTCTGGCAAGCAGCTCAGAGAAGCAAAGAGGCAAAGGCTGTGATGTGCTGCTAGAGTGCTGGTGGTAAAACCTACGGCACATGCTGCAGCCAACCCTCTGTTACCACTGCAAGCTCTAACAGGTTCGCCGTCACTGTGCTAGAGCCTGCTCTGCACACACACCACCAACAGACAACAGTCAACACCTACCTGGGGCCCCCACACAACCAGACTGTTCCCACATCTGGTGGGCCAGGCTTTGAGCTGCCGTCTGTGCAGAGTGGGCTACAGGACAGCTGCAGATCAACCTGAGCTCTACCAACACCAAGTACAAACAACAAAGCCATCTCACCCAAACCCTGTCCGATTCAGCTGTTTCACCCACTTGGATAGAGTGAGAGTCTGGCCTTTGGGCAAATGTCAGCCTCAGATTCAAAGACACACAGGGAGGAGCACAACCTGACACAATGACCTCTGCTGCCCAATCCACAAAGACTCCAGTGCAAGTGATGGGCAGTACTAGATTGATGGAAACCACACCCTTTCATTTAGAAATTTTATGCATACGAGTAACCTTAATTTCCAAATTCATATGACAATAAGTGAAAGTGACATACAGTGCAGCCAAACAGTTCATTTATAACTTAGCTTTTTTTTGTTGGTTTTTTGTTTTTTTCCAAAGATCAGTTCCTTAAAATGGATGTTCCTGGGATGTGACTAAAGAAAATATGTCTGGAAGGTGAGCCTTTCAAACAGCGAATTTCTTCATCCTTCCAATTTCTGCCCCCATGATGGAAGGCATCGTGCCCCCTGCTTCCTGCTTGCCCTCTTCCTGGAGACGAGCGCACACGGGCCCTTCACCTGCCGAAGCCGCCTCAGGCCCATCTCCTCCTCCCCCTGCAGCAGTGCTTCAGTGGGAATCAAGACGGGGTGTCTAGGCTCTGGAGGGCAGGAGTTCTGACACATCCATGGCACTTAACATTTGTCTGAGAGTCTGATGGAGCCTCGGCCTGTCTGCTTTGCCCACAGGAAGAGGGTCCGGTGGAGGATGATGCCAAGGGAACAGGGGTGAGGACAAAGTCTAGGGTGGTAGCTGCAGCTTGGGCTCACCAGCAGACGGGGGGCTTGGCTCTGGAGGGGGTGGGGAAGAACAGCCCTTTCTCCACCAGCCGCCCACTACTTGGCCGAGTCCCGGCACGCACACTGACACTGACATGCCTCCTCTTGTTTGATGATGATCACAGGAACACTGAGGCCAATTTGCTGGACAGAGCTCCCTGCGAAAGAGGCAAGAGATAACTGCTCTGCAAGCAGCTGTGGGCAGAGGCGTGAGGGGCAGGGATATGTGGACAGGTGAGGGCTGGGTGCCTGGGAGGCTGGAGTGGGGGGAGGATGGATATCAGGTGCTTGGCTTTGGTCCTGCTTTAAATTGGACCAAGTTCCTTCACAGGGGAAAAATCCATCACTCCAAAACAAAGACCCCCGTCCTTAGTGAGCCACACACACAATCTAGATCCCCCTGGCCCTTCTCTGCTGTGCTTCCATGCCAATCACAGTACTCTCTGCTCTTTTCCAGACACCTTCTTCATACCTGTGGGCCTGCAGTCCTGACACAACATTCTTCTGGAGAATTTATGCGCACCTTCTCACACCCAGCTGTCCCTCCTGCTGCCCAGGCAGTTTCCCTGAGGGCTACGTAGAGGGCGAGCTCAGGGGAAGCCAGCAGCTGTCCAGCACACACGCATGCACTGCCGCCTTCCCTCTACACCCATCCGTGCTGCACTGGGCCACTAAGACTGACCATCAGAACATCTTGCTCTTCTGTGTGGCCCCAGTTGCTGACAGGTTGGAGATGGTACATGTCAGTCAGCACCCTCTTACTGTTGGCCTTGCATGGGTGCACATTTGTATTTTACACCCTCCACCCTGCCCCTGCCACGTCTGTTGTATACACTCAGGCTCTGAATTCAGCCAGGTTCTGTGAAGAAGACAGTGGCTTGGGAATGAGACAGCCAAAGCTCTAGCTCTCCTGCATATTCATTTATGACCGTGGGAAGTCACTTTATCTTTTTGGGTCCCAGTTTATTATTATTTTTTAAATTTTGAGGTAGGGTCTTGGTGCTTGTTTTAGCAGCACATATACTAAAATTGAGATAGGTTCTTTGTAAGTCATTAAGTTTGCCAGACGGGGCTCAAACTTGCAATCCTCCTGCCTCAGTCTCCCACAGTGCTAAGATTGCAAGCATGACCACAGTGTCTGGCAAGGTTTCAGTTTCTTAATCTAGAAAAGAAAGAATCTGAAATACAGGAACCTTTCAGGTCTGTTCGACCTGGCCCAGATGCTATTTCTTCTTCACTGTAATTAGAAAAGAGCCCAGTAAATTAACAACCGCCCTCTTTAGCATTAACTGTGATTCAGACTTTTTCTGGCTACACTGAAAAGCTGTATCTGGAAGGGATGAATTTTTACTGGAAAGAAGGTTGCCCATGGTCTTTATACTAGCACATTAACTTCCAGTAGTTGTGAGAGCATGAACAAACTCTAATGAACAATATGATGTGAATTTAAATAGGCTGCATAAATATTTTTAAAGGATCAAAAACTTTAAAGAATGTTCTCTGCCTCAAGGGGCCAGAGAAGTGACTTTCTGTTAAAGCTAACATGGAATTACATACCTGTGCTACTGGCTACTGGTACTGCTGTGGTAAAAATCACCTTCTCAACTTTCGATGCTTGCTGCTGGGAAAAAAAGAAATCACACTTATGGCCACTTGAATATGGCAGCTATCCAAGGACCTGAGGCCTCCCAACTTGTAATGGTCCCCAAGAAGACAGAAAGCCCTGTGTTCAGGGATCCTTGCACTGAGCAATGTTTTGTTTGTGCTCCAACACGAGGTCACTGCACTGTTTGACATTCCATGCTGACAGTGGAGCCAACTCTGTGCCCCACCGCTTGGCTGGCTTCCAGCTGCCTGAGCCACGGGTTTTGTGGATCCAGAGGATCCTCCCAGGTTGTTTTTCTCAAGCTGCTGGCTGCTCAGGAGCCCAGGGCTGCCTCTCCCTCCAGGATATCTCACCCAGCCCCTGCCACGTCTTCTGTCACAGCTGGGAAGTTCTTTCCTTCCTGGAAGGGGTTAGGCTGCCCAGAGGGCAGGCGAGGCTTTCTCTGGGCACAGAGCCCTGGGAAGGTCTTGGGCAGCACTGTGAGCTGCACAGGATGCTCCAGGTGGACTTGGCTACCTGATTCAAGTCTAAGCCCTGTTGCACGTTGTTGTTGATGTCAGGCAAGTGATCCGACTTCTTACAGTGTGTTTTCTGTAAAGTGGGGATGAGAATGAAAGGCCCCTTGGGAGGACTCAAGATTAAATGAGGGAGGAATGTGGAACACTGGGCTGGCTCAAGGTCAGCATTGGTAAACATCAGTGATCTGTACTGTGACTACAGAGGACCACAAGACTATGCCCGCAAGTCACTTTCATCACGTCTATTAAATTGGCTGCATAGTTTCTGCTTTCAAATTTTTATTTAATTGTTTTTTTTTTTTTTTTTGTGGTACTGGGGATTGAACCAAGGGGTCTTCACACTGAGCTACATCACTAGTCCTTTTTATTTTTTGAGACAGGGTCCCCTAACTTGTTAGGCTGCCCAGGCTGGACTCAATGTGATCCTCCTGCCTCAGCATCCTGCAGTGCTGGGATAATATGCAGATGCCACCAAGACTGGCTTCTTCAAATCTCTGGCTGTTTGGAGACAGGGTCTCTCTATGTAATCCAGGTTGGCCTCAAACTCATGGCGATCCTCCTGCCTCAGCTTCAGGTGCTGGGATTACAGGCATGTACCACTATGCCCAGCTCTTCAAATCTTATCTTAAAGGGGCTTTAGTTTTTATTCCCACCCTCTTTTTTTTTTTAAAGTGGCTATAAATGAGTCTGGGAGAAAGTAAAAGCCTGGGGCTAAGTTACAGGAGATGACACTAAAACAAGGAAGGAGACATAAAACTCATTTAAAAACATGAAAAGGAATTACAGTATGTGGAAACAGAATGACATTTGTTCATGCAGCTCCCCAGGGCAGGCCCAGACAAAATGATAAAAGCTCCATGCAGGCAGCCGGGGTCACAATTCCAATGACTCCAGCCGTCTGAATCTAGACAGGCTCCTCTAGGAGTGGCTGATGTTCCATTTCTGGAATTTGAGTGCTGTTACTATATGTACAGGCTAAACTGCCTTTCCAGTTTGTTTACACCCACCCATACACATTAGGCCTAGGACACCCTTTCCTCCACCTAATTCCTATCCATAATTCAAGGCTCTCCTGATTCAAATGGCCACCCAACAAAGCCCCTTTGAGTCTAACCCCCTCCTCTGGTAACACGATGCAATAACCAAGAGCACAGGCTCCGAGTCAGTCCACCTAGGCTCAAACCCCAGCTCTATCTTGTGTGAGCTGTGTGAGCTTGGGCTAGTCACTTACTTAACCTCTCCAGATCTCAACCTTCCATCAGTAAAATCATACCAATCTCCTGTGACTACTAGAATGTATTAAAAAGGGCTTAATTGGCCGAGGATTTAGCTCAGTGGTTCCTCTGCCTGCCTTGCAAGCACAAGGTCCTGAGTTTGATCCCCAGTACAAAAAAAAAAAGGAGCTTAATTAATGTAGTGATTAACATTTGAGACACAGACATATCGAAAAAGTAAAAAGAGAGAGAGGACAAATCAAGGAAGCAAGGGGCAAAACTATTTCAGATAACTTAAAGGTAGATTTAAGACATGTATTTGTTAAAACAAAGAATGAGCCCTTAAGTGTGGACTTTAGTTAATGTACTGATACTTGTTATAACAAATGGACCACACTGATACACAACGTTAATAAAGAGAAAAGCTGGGGTGTATACATATGCCCGGGCCTCTGGAGTCTGTGACTACTTTCCTATAGTAGATGAGATGTAAAATGGCAGAAGGAAGGAGGCAGAGGGAATATTCTTTCAAGTGTCTACTGTTAAGTAAGCTTAAGGGTTGTTTCTCTGCCTTCTCTGCCTCCTTCTCAGGTACTGACCATAGCATTTCCTGGATTTACACCATTCGATTATAGGAAAAATGACAACAGGAGAGAATTATAGGCTTCAGGGTAGGAACGTAGACATTTTTTTTGAAATCAAAGCCTCTGATCAAGCCCCCGCATTAAGCACACTTTAGCCCAGTGCATACGTTTGTATGTAATACTTACAGTTTGTTCTTGGTTTTGTGGTGAACTGGTGGCACCATTTAATATCCATTGTAAGTTCTGTTCTCCCATGACTAAGCCGGACCCCAGGATAGCCGTGTTGGGAGTCGGGGTAATGGTTATAGTGGGATTGTTAGTTAGGACAGAGTTGGCACCCAGCGGCAGAGTCTGGACCATGGCTGGCAGGGGCTCAGTAGTACTCTGTGGTGGGGCAGGTGCTGCCATGGCCGATGTCACTGCTGCTGCTGATGCAGAAGCCCCAGCAACAACAGAAAGTCCTGGTACGATGGGCTGCGGTGCCTGGGGGTGCGGAAGAAACTCTTGATGATTAGCAGCAAACTGTGTGCTGTGGAGAACAGGCACTTCTGGAGGTTGTAAGAGAGCAGGGGGGTTGCCAAATGCAGCTTGCTGGGAACCAGGTCCTAGGGAGGGAGCAGGTGGAGGAGCGGAAGGAGCTGAGGCTGGTAGTAGAGGCTGGGGTGGCTCGGAGATGCCAGGCTGCAGTACAAGCGGGAGAGATAAAGATGCTGAATTTCCTGTGGGTGGCGGGGCATCACTGACTGACTCTGCATCACCATTAAAACTTTCAATCAAGGCAGCTGGTAAGAAAAAGAAACAGAAACGTATATACATATCCCAAGCCTCGTATACGCCACAACAATACAGTCATTACGAGCTGAACAAGACAACTGAGGTGCGTTGGAGCGGACTCCTGCTCTGCTAGCAGGGAGGTTTTGTGCTCCCTTCAGTAGCACCACTGCTCACAATGCCACATCTGCTGATCAACCGCACTTCCTAGGTGCAACGGCCTAGAGAAGGTCTAAGCATCAAACAGTGTCCTCTGGCTCTTCTAGAACCTTCCTTTTTTCTTTTTTGATATGACTAGTGAATACAGACAGACTTCCATTCAGAAACAGTCTGATCTTTGCTTCGGAAGCTTGTTTGTGGGTCCTATCCACTCAGGAAAAGGATATCATGGCAGAAGGAAAAGCTTATGGCTCTTCCTATCTTTTAAAGCCACAAGGAGATTCTGGGAAAGGAGACCCTCTTATTCAGGAGCTGAGGGAAATCAGGGAAAAGATGGAATTGAACTGAAAGGCACATTTTTCAGAGCCTTCACAGCCTGCTTCATTTAAGCTAACTGAAATATTTCTCTTTGTCTGTCACTGAGAATGTCAACAGGTATGAATTCCCTTTCCTAGCTGCAATGAACAAGAAAAGAGTGTATCAAACCTGTCTGCTGAGGATCTTCCTGAATTGCTGTATCATCTGAATCCTGGAACATTGATTCAAAGATGACTGCTGGTGAAATTGTGCTGAGGTCCTGGCCCTGTGTCTGATGAAGAAAGAGAGATGTGAGACTTGCCATCCTGAGACAATTCTTCGCCATGAGAGAACACACTTAGTTCAGTGGAGCTAGAATGATCTTTTGATATGCTTCCTGTTTCTACCATCTCCTGTTTCAAAGTGCACTGAGATACTGAAGATCGGGATCCTCAAGAGCTGATAAACTGTGACTTGCAGCTTGGCAGCCTGTTTTTATAAAGTTTTATTGGAACACAGGCAAGGCACTCCTTTACATATTATGTATGCTGTTCTCACAGTACATGAGCAAAGCTGAGAAGCTGTCACAGAGACCACGTAGGCCACTCAGCCTAAAATATTTAGTATCTGGTCTTTCACCAAAAATGCTTGCCAACCCCTGTTCTAAAAGACCAAGTCCCACATAAATGTGGGATTGTATAATATTCACTACTGGTACAGTTTGTCCCTTTTGAAACTCATGTTGGAATTTAATCCCCATTATGAAGTGTTAAAGGGCAGAAACTTAATCTGTCTGGAAGGTGATTATAATTAGACGAGGTAGCCAGAGCGCCCCCTACCCCACTGCACACTACTATCTTTGTAACAAAAGTGAAAGAAGTCCAGTGTGGTAGCACAACACTTGCAATCTCAGCTATTCATCGGAGTGAGGCAGAAGGATTAAAAGTTCCAGGCTGGCCTGGGTAATTTAGCAAGATCTTATCTCAAAATAAAAAATTTAAAAGGAAGGGTGGAGTCTGGGAATGTAGCTAAGTGGTGGAGGGCCCCTGGGGTCAATCCCCAGGACCACAGGACACTCCCTGACCACACATACACACACACATAATATGCACGTTCACACTTCCTCTCTTTTGCCACATGATGCCTGCACTATCTCCAGGCTCTGCCAGTGAGAGGGCATCAACCTCAGCCTCCTGAGTAGCTAGGGGATAGGGTATGTCATTAGGCCTGGATAAAAAAATAAAAAGGGAAAGTGCAGAAGCCACCACCAGGCTTCAGGGCAAAAACCCTGGGGCAGAGTGAGTGGGAATCGCTCTCTAAAGGAGACCAGACAGAACAGGCTGTGCCCCTGGGGCCTGGAACAAAGACCAAAGAGCAGGGAGAACATGGGAGCAGTCAGCCCAGGATGGATCCTGGAGCTCAACAACCAAAAGACTCAGTGGGCCAGTCCCTAGCTGCAGCCATCCCCCTTAACAAAAGGTCTGCGCAAACCAAGACTGACTTCTAGGACATGCGGACGCATGTGTCAATTCAAAAACCCAGAGTGATTATCTCACACAAATTTACCATTTGGTTCCCCAACCCCATATCAGAAATCGAACTCAGGACCTTGCACTTGCCAGGCAGGCGCAGCGCTATTGAGATACATTTCTGGCCATATCATTTGGTTTTAACCACTCTCAATTTTTTTTTCAGCTTTAATTGAGTTTATTGGTACATTTTAGGTATACAGTACAGTTACATTCATTGTTGGGATCTTGTACTTCTACATGACAGGTCTTGGTTCTCATTTTTCCCCTTGTCCCTGCCCTCCCTTCACCCCCTCCTCCCCTCCCCATCTACAACCACTTTATTTCCATCTTTTCATTATCTCACATTTTTTTCTTTTACCACTCTCAATTTTTAAAAAACAAAGCAAAAGGATAGGGCTATCCTCTTTTGATGATGTAAACTGCAGTAGAAAAGGCCTCCCTTTCTTACATGTTCTTTTTGTTTTGTTTTCGAGACAGTGTCTTGCTATGTAGTTCAAGCTGGCCTCAAACACACAAGAGCCTCCTGCCTCAGCCTCCTGAGTTTTGGGATTACAGGGCATACCAACTTGCCCCGATTCTTATATGTTTTCAAAATACCCCTAATTCCAGTTATCTCTGATGAACCTAGGACTCCACAAAGCTCTTTAATCAGCCAGACCTGGTTACCCAAACCTGTAATTCCAGCACTTGGGAGGCTGAAAGAGGAAGACGGCCACAAGTTCAAGGAAGACAGCCACTATGAGCTACAGAGTGAGACCCTGTTTCAAAAAACTAAAAAATTTTAAAAAAAGCTCCTCAGTCATATATCATAGTCTTGGGCAGAGCAGACAATATTAAGACATTTAACACAGTTCAATCACAAAGGAATATTACACCCAGAATCTTAGGCAAGGTAACTCTGAGGGCTTCTAGACCACCCAATATATAAATTTCTTCTAGAAAATTAGTTCTAGGTGGGCATGTTAGCACATGCCTATAATCCCAGCATGTGGGAGGCTGAGGCAAGAGGATCATCACCTCAGTTCAAGCCTGGGTTACATAGCGAGTTCAAGGCCAGCTGGACTACCTCATAAAATCCTGTCTCCAAAAAAAAAAAATTAGTTTTGAAATGTGAATATAAAAAATCACATGAGGTACTTAATCTTTTTCTCTTTGTTCTTCAGATTGATACACTTCGATTTAACAATTTAACAATCTGTCACTGTCATTTCTAATCTGCTGTTGCATCTATCCATTTAATTTCTTACATGATATATTTTTCTGTTCTAGAATTTCTATTTGGTACTTTTTTTTTTGAGACAGGGTCTCACTATATAGTTGAGACTGACCTAGAACTCACTATGTAGCCCAGGCTGGTCTCGAACTCACAGTGATCCTCCTGCCTCAGCCTCCCGAGTACTAGGATTACAGGTGTGTGCCACCATGCCCGGCTATTTGATACATTCTTTATAGATTTTATTTCTCTGAGATTTCCCATTTTTTTCAATCATTTCTTTATTCAAACATATTCCTTTATGTCCTTTTTTTTGTTTTGTTTTAAAGATAGGCTTTTTTTTTTTTTTTGGTACTGGGGATCGAACTCGGGTCCTTATGCTTGCAAAGTAGGCGGCAGAACCAGAGCTAAATCCTTGGCCAGTCATTTTTTTTAAAGTTAACATGTATATATAGGAAATAAAAACAAAGAAGCAATGAACAGTCATTTGCAGTCATAAGCGCCTTAGTTGGATGTGTTCTTCTGGGTCCTGCATGTCCATACACAAAATGCTATTTTGTGTGACTGAGATTGTATTGTGTGTATGTGTTTATTCTTTCTGTGTGTGTGGGGTGGGGGTTGGTACCAGGGATCAAATTTGGGACCCTGAGCTTGCAAAGCAGGTGGCAGCACCACTGAGCTAAATCCCTGGCCCTGTACAAGGTCTTTTTTTGAGACAGGGTCTTGATATGTAATTTAGGCTGGCCTTAAACTCACTATGTCACCCAGGCTAGCCTTGACCGCAAGGGGATCCTCCCACCTCAGCCTCCCAGGTGCTGGGATTACAGGCATGTGCTGCCTGGCCCAGTTCCTTTAAAACCTTGAGGACATTATAACTTCCAAAAATCTTTGTGAATTCCAACATTCAGATGGGTCACCCTGAGGCTGATCTCCACGGACTACCCTTTCTCTTGGAGAGGAGTCATGTTTTAGGGAGACTCTGGATTCAGTGACACTTCTCAGAAGGGTGTTATCAGAATTGAACACTCTGCTAATTCTGTCTCCCTTGCAGCACCCAGTAGTTGTCATCTTTGTCTAGTTCATTAGTCTCAGCAGAGCTGCTCTGTCTGCCCCACACATCCATTATTCACAGGTGAGCCAGAGGCGTGGGTGAGGTATAAACACAGCATGAGGCCCCCGCTTCATGGCTTGGTCCTTCCTAGGCCCTTCCCCCTTGGATTCCAGGTGCCACAGTCACCCTGAACTCTGCCCTCCAGTTTTTCAAGTCAGCAAATCTGAGTATTCTCTGAATTTAGCTACTTCTGCTGGTGCCAACTGGGGCTTGCCCAAGACCTACAAGGCCACCCAGTCCCTTTATGATCTTCTAAGCAACCTCATCTCCCAAGGCTACCTCTGCTTGCTGCTGGCTCACTGATGCCTTCACATAGTTTTCTTATATTCTTATATTTCTTATATTCTTCACATCATTTTTCTTATATTGTGTATAGCATTTGAAGCTGTTTTCTGTGGGCGAGTTGGTCTTATAAGAGCAACTCTGCCATGGGGTACTAATATAAAAACACAGTTTCAGGTGCCACTCCCAGAATAACATTTGTACTTATTTGATTTTAAAGTTTTAAATTGTTTTGAGATGGAGTCTTCTTGCATCCCAGGCTGGCCTCAAACTCCTGGGCTCACCTGGGAACACAGGCACAGGCCACTGCATCCATGGAGATCTTTTGTTCATTCTGTTGATTTTCTCTTTTCTTTTCTTTTTTTTTTGAATTGTATTTCCTTAGTTCATCTCAAGCTCTGGTTTTCACATTTATTTTTTTTTTCTTCTCTTTTCTTCTTGGTACTGCAGATTGAACCCAGAGCTACAATCCCAGATGTCTCATAATTTTTTAAAATTTGATATGGTGATTTGCTATGTTGCTAAGTTGCCCAGACTAGCCTCAAACATGCAATCCTCCTGCTTCGGTCTCCCCCAGTGCTAGGACGACAGCTGTGCCCATGACGCCCAGTAGAACCTACATTTTTAGAAGTGTTACAATTGACTCCAAATTTAAGAAAGAGCAGTTGTTACAAGGCATACCTAAATCAGTCTCTGTCCAAATACTTGTGATCACATTTATGCATTATGCATAGAGTAAAAAAAAACAGCTATATTTATTTACCAGCAAAAATCAAACTCAAAACTAGTGTTAACAACATAGAAAAACACTCAGATTGTATGAAAGAAGGCTGCATAAGTGCAGACTCAACGCAGTGGTCTTTACCATCATGGAGGCATGGAAATGGACAGAAAACTTATCAGTGAGAATCAAAGCAATGAGGTCGAGATAGAGTGGGCTTGCCTTTTAGCAGAGGCCTGTATAAATTCTCTTCAAAAACCCAATAAAGCGGGTTTAAAGGAGGAAGACTGAGCCAGGTCAGGGAGGCAGGGTAAGGAAAGGTCCCCAAACTGGAATTCTGGCTACACCTCATAATGCTAGACTTGGAAGCTCTTCAAGAAAATCTATACCTTGTTACCACTGTTAGCACAGCATTGGCACAAGGCCTAAAGTAGTGCCCAATAAATATTTGTTAATGAATAGAAAAGAAACTTTCTGGAGCCAAGAGGCTATCAAGTGAGTGCCTGGGTCAAAATGTATTATGCAAAAGATAGAACAACCTCTTCTAATAGGATTTTTTTTTTTTAGTACTGGGGATTGAACTCAGGTCCTTGCACTTATGAGGCAGGTGGCGGCACCACTGAGCTAAATCCCTGGGTATGCTAATAGTATTCTTATCAAGAGAAGGGGGGAATCCTAAATGGTCAGCAATTAAATACAATTAAATCTAGAAGACTTCACACTGGCCTTCCCCAAGTTTTCCACCAAAAGAAGCGCTCAATCCTCGCATCCATTTTTTTAGCACCTGCATCCCACGTACACTTACTGTATTAGAATTTTCTCCCAATTCCGAATCTGCAGACAGAAGGTGCAAGTCACTCAGATAAAGTGAGTGATTTGTATCCTGTGAAAGAGAAAAAATTAGAACTGAGTATCAAAAATCAGGATCCATGGTAGCCTATTATGTAACACCATGCTTGACTGCAGCGTCTTTACAGTTCCAAATGTTTCGTGGAACACGAGTCACCCAAAGCGAGGTCTAAGCACATCGTTCCACTTTTAAAACTATATTCCTAGAACCTCTTATATTCTGAAAGTTAGTTAGTAGTTTCTACATTATTGTGTGACCTGGGTTCCGAGTAACAAATTCTATGACAATACAAAAGTAGTATTTGTGTAATTGGCTTCATCATTTATAAAGTGATTTCGCATGACTCATTTGTTATTCATGTAAACCTTGGAGCATTACTCTATTCCCCATTAGAAATATGAGAATATCAGTGCGATGCCAGTGGGAGTGAAGCGCCCCCAAACACAATAGCTAATTAGCAGACGTCTAATCCACTGCTTCTGATCGGCAAGACAATGTTCCTTCTGCTGAGGACCGCTGTGTTCTCAGTATCGGCACCTCAGGGCTCCTGACTCAGAATGGTACTGAGGGCTAACTATTCAAATTCCGGCTAAAGCTGAACTCTGGACTCCTCGAATGTCAGTCACAACTCACACACTCTGAGTGGTGACCTTGCCTTCCTCCCACTACTGCGTGCATTCAACAAATACAACAGCCTCCCCGCATTCACAGTGCTGCTTTCCACAGTTTCAATACTCAGGGGCAACTGTGGCCTGGAAATATTAAATTCCAGAAGGAAATAATGCCATTTAAGTTTTAAACTGCACATGGATCTGAGAAGTGTGACGACACTGCACACGATACCCCCACCTCACCAGCCAGGCTCGTACTCTACCTACCCCATTAGTCACTCAGTAGCCACCTGGGCCATCGGAGCCAGGGCATGCATTCGAGCAGCCCTTATCTTACTCAATGATGGCCCCAAAGCACAAGGGTAATGATGCTGGCAATTTTATTATTTTATATTGTCATCGGTCTCTTACTGCGCCTAACTTAAAAGTTAAACTTTAACATAAGTATGTAAGTGTAGGGAAAAACATGGCAACACAGGGTTGGATACTACCTGCAGCTTTAGGTATAAACAGGAGAGCTTAGAACATGTCCTACAGATAAGGGAGAGCCACTGTTTTCACTGAGCATCTCTTATGTATCAGGAATTGTTCTAGGGATATAATATAAACATAACAGCCTCCCTGCCCCTGTAGAGCTTCTACAGTAGTGAAGATAAAACAGATAGTGTACAAAATGATGCTAAGTGTTATGAAGAGTAAAGGAATAGGGAAGGTCAGAGTAGGAGTTTTTATGTTTTGTTTTGTGGAACTGGGGATTGAACCCAAGACCTTCACAGAGTTACAACTCAAGTCCTTTTTTATTTTCATTCTTTTTTAAAGTTTTTGGTAACTTGTCCAGGCTGTGCTCAAACCTGCAATCCTTCTGCCTCAGCCTCCCTTTGAGTATTGGGATTACAAAACACACACACACACACACACACACACACACACACACTAGGGATTGTTTTTCATCAGATGGTTAGGAAAAGCCTTGCAGGTAAAGGGCATCAGAGCAGAAACTGGAGAAAAGAGGGCAAGGGCCACGCACGCATACAGAAAGTGTTGTAAGCAGAGGGTACAGCATGTACAAAGGCCTGGAGGTAGGAGCACTCCTCTCTCGGTTCAAGGCACAATATGGATGAAGAAGAGAGTGAGTGAGTAGGAACGTGGCCAGGCCAGACAGCACAGCACCTTATGGGCCATTGGAAATTCTGACTTCTACTCTAAATGATTCAAGAAGCTCCAGAGGTTACGAACAGAAAAGGTAACTGACCATGGTTTAGAAAGACTGCTCTGGGCGATGAATGTAGAGCAGTCTGTGGCAGACTGGGGAGAGGAGAAGGGAAAGGGTGCGAAGAAGTCTGTTTGATAGTTTCCTGCGATAATTCAGATGGGAAGTAGAATGAGTGAAGTAATCGGAGGACTGATCGGATTCTAGATGTACTTTCAAGGTAGAGCCCGCAGACTCTGCGGGTGTATTTGAGATATAAGGGGAAAAAAGGGTGAGATATAAGATTTTTGGCTCTGCCATTAGAAAAACCTCACTGCCTTTTACTAAGCTGAGAAGCCTGCAGGAGGAACAGGTCTGGACACGTGAAGTCTGAGAAGGGGAGACACCATCTGGTGGGGACACTGAGGAGGAGGTTGACTATGCTAGTCTGGAGCTCTGGAGAAGACGCAGCCCAGAGACCGGAAGGCAATGCGGATGGGGTGTGAGCTTGAGACTAGAAACATCTCCCTGTCAGAGGGCACAAGAGACAGGGGAGCATGTGGACTGTGCACTGGTGCCAATGCACTCCAGTGCTCAGGGGCTGTTGGTAGGCAAATTACTCATCCGCTGTTACAAAAGGAGAAAACTGATTACAAGACTTGAAAACTGATTCTGAGACTCACACCTTTTTTTGGGGGGGGGTTGAGACAGGGTCTTGCCTCCTGCCTCAGCCTCCCAAGTGCTGGGATTATAGGTGTGCACCACCATGCCTGGCTAGACTCACAAATTTTAAAAGTTTGTTTTCTTTTTTGTGTTTTTGAGACAGGGTCTCACTATGTAGTTCAGGACAGCCTCAAGTTCACAATGTAGTCCCGGCCGGCCTCAAACTCATGGTAATTTTCCTGCCTCAGCCTTTGAAGTGCTGGGATTGCAGGCAAGGGCCACCACATTCGGCTCCTGGTTTTTACAGATGAAGAAACTCATTTGCCTAAGGTCATGTGATTAGGGATAAATGTTGGCTCTAAATTCAAGCAGCTAAGCTTTGGCTTCTGCACAACGAATGCAATTCTGTCACTTATGACACAGGTGTTAGAACTGTGTTATGACACAGAAGGAATCATGCTTCCTATCTAAATCAGACTAACTACAAGCTCTGGCCACTTAGGCAAGTTATTTCATTTTTTCCTTGCTTCGAATTTCTAAATCAGTAATATGGGGATAATAATAGTACTCACCTATTATTGCTAATAAAACTCAGGGGTCAGGGGAGTCCTTCTAAAGAGCTTTTTTATTGTTTAAAATTGGACACTGCAGAATTAGAGTATACTGCCATTCCCAAAATCAAAATCATACTACATAGGAACTTAAAGCTGGGCATGGTGTTATGTGTCTGTAATCCCAGCAGCTGGGAGGCTGAGGCAGGAGGATCATTATGAGTTCAAGGCCAGCCTGAACTACAAAATACATAGCAAGACCCTATTGTAAAAAATAAAGAAAGAAAGAAAAGAAAAGAATTTCAGTACTCCAAAGGGGAAAGTGAATATGCAAGTCTAGCATCCCAGGGCAGATCCAGGCTACAGATATTACCGTGGACTCAAAGACAACACCAATGGCATGTGAGGCCTGAGCCTAGAAGAGGTTCTCCCTACTGGAGATTGACTGGGATCCAGAGAGGACAAGGAACACAGCTAAGGGAGAAAGGATGGGGGAAAGAAGTGCTGAGAAGTTCACCTGGCTATGGCAATAATCCAAGCAAAAAGACGGCAGTGGATTGAACAAAGTGCTCAGAAGTGATCAGGTTCTAGATATATTCTGAAGGCAGAACTGACACACTGCTGTATCAGCATCGGCTTCTTTATCCAGAAAAAACTAAAATAATAATACAGTTGTTCTCACTTTCCAGGGTTCAGTACTGCATTAAAAGTAACAGCTGTAAACCGATCCCAAGATCTCTCTGGAATGGAGCTGCAGGGGCTCAGGAGATATGGAGGGGGCTGGGAAAGAACAAAACTGCCTGGGGCTCCACAGAGGCTTGTTTTGTGGTGCAGTATTTTTAGCCACTGTCTCTCAGACCTTCTGGTTTATAGACAATTTGAAAGAGCAACGCTGACCCCAGGCACTGTGGCACACAACTGTGATCCCAGCACTCCCAGAGTTGGAGGCAGGAGAAAAGTTTGAGCCCAGCCTGGGTAACTTAGTGACTTGACAAGACTCTGTCTTGGTGAGGGGAGAAAAGGCTGGAGGTGTAGCTCAGTGTGAAGACCCTGGGTTCAATCCCCACTGCTGCCCCCCAAAAAAAGAAAGAAAAAGAAAAAGGCAAGGACCCTCCAGACTTTGCTTGCCTCTAATGACAGGTTAATGGGTATGTGAAGCAACATTGATTTGTGTCCCAAACTCAAGTACAGATTTATCATTTCATAGGCATGACTAGGGTTAATGACACTGACATTCTTTTAAGAGTATCTAGCTGACCCCCCCCCTTTTTTTTTGGTACCGGGGATCGAACTTAGGACCTTGTGCTTGCCAGGCAGGCACGGTGCCACTGAGCCAAATCCCCGGCTCTAGCTGACAATTTGAAAGCCTTGTTTTAAAGACAGGGTCTCACTATGTAATTCAGACTGGCTTTGACCTCACTATGTAGCCCAGGCTAGCCTCAAAGTTGCTGCAATCCTCCTGCCTCAGCCTCCTGAGTGTTGGGATCACAGGTGTTTGCCTCCATGCCTAGCCCCTGAAAGCCATTTCTGAGACCTCTGGATTCTACAGCACCTTCTTCTGTCATACCTGATGGAAATGAGGCAAGACAAAAGTAGAGGCTTTAGCACAGGCGGTCTAGTGAAATTTCTGGCTTCTGCTATCCTCTTGCAAAGACAGAGATTTTGACACTGCTTTTTTTCCTCTAGCTGGGATATAGTAAAGATATTTAAACCTTCTTATGAGACACAAACAACTGCTGTTCTATGGTGCCCTGATCAAAACAAGACAAGAACACTGCCCACCTCTGATCCATTGTGTTGTGGAAGTGCACTGTACGAGTGGCCTTTGTTATCATGACCTTTCATGTGACTTTTGAGACTGTACTGAGTGCTGAATGTTTTCTCACAGCCATTGCTGGGGCAGAAGAAGGGTCTTTCACCTGCAAGAATGACAAAGTAGTGTTAATTTCACCATGGAGTCATTTCACTAAATTAAGAAATCTATCTTTCCTTAATAATAAAACTAATAATAAACTACATGCTAATTATCTCAGTCCTAAAACTTTTTTTTTTTTTGGTACCAGGGATCGACCTTGGGTCCTTGCGCTTGCAAGGCAGGCAGTGGAACCACTAAGCCAAATTCCCAGCCACTCAGTTCTGAAACTTAATGCAGAACAAAGCACTGGGAATGCCCATTCCTGAGAAATTTAAGAAGATTCAGTTTCTCATGAGCTTGTTCTATTCTGTTCTTTTTTCTTTTCTTTTCTTTCCCTCCCTTCCTTTCTTTTTGAGTATTTCTGTACTGCCTTCATTTCTTAAATTAAATTCCTGAATCCAACTTTTGCATTCTTTCATCTTTGAAAGAAACTCAAACATTACAGGTGAAGGCTAAACTGATTAGGCTCAGCCTCTTCACCTAGTTCTACAGTTCTCAGTAGAAACACAGGCATAGAGTTGGTAAAGGTTAAAATGAAGAGTAGAAATCAGCCTGAACTCACCAGTATGTGTGCGGACGTGCGTTTTAAGGTGGTGGCTTGCTGCAAACGCTTTTCCACAGCCATCGTGATCACAGCTAAATAAGGTGTTTAAGCAAAGGGAAACAGGAATCATTGACTAAGAGACCTTCATCCTCAACATCTGCTGTAAATCCAAACTACAACTTAAGAACTTAGAGTGTAGAACTTAAGTTCAGATTGGGAACACTGGTTTCAGAGAAGGGAATGATGAGAGGTTCCTGAAAAAGCAAGGTGGCAGCTCTGGTAGCTGAAGGAGCAGAGGGCCTAGGGTAAGTACCTCGTCCCGCAGGGAAGGCATGTGTTGAGAGCCCTGACAACAAAAGTCTTTTGATTATTTAACAGAGCTCTACTGACAGTGAGAGTCCATATAGAGCATCTACAGACAGTGAAATGCCGCAGACATCAAGAGTGGGTAAAGAAGCTCTCACCTATGCATAGGGCTTGCCCTACAATCCTAGAACATAATCATCAGAACTCTGTAACGGCTGTAATCCTCAGTGTCCAGATCTCTTTTTCTTCTTCTACTTCTCGATAGCCAAAGCCAGAAGTAACCTTTCTCTCCTCAGAACTTCTGAGGCACACATCCACATAACACCTCCCATCTTACTTTATGTCTCTGTGTACACATCTGTTACCTGTTCTCCTAGACTGACTGCAAACTCTCTGTGGGCAGGATCGACACTGCCCTTCACAACTGCTCAGCTCTTGCACAGAGCAGGCACTTGATACTTACACATATGAATGTATCCATTTTAGGATGAATCACAATATAATGTCTTTAAATAGGAAGCATTTTAAATTAGATATTATTATCATAGTATCTAAAGTCCCATCTAATATTCAAGAAAAAATAGCTTTTATCATCACAAAAATAAACACATGTGCCTGGACAGAAATCAGAGGCCCTCTTGGCACCCTATACCCAAGCTTCAGAGCATCACAGAGGAACCAACTAGCCTCTAACTACTCTTGCCCTTAAAGAGGCCATGACTTAGGAATGTAATTTAAAAACTCAATTCCATTTAATGGTGTCTAAAAGCTAACTGTGCTTGAAGACTTTTAAATTGCTTCTAAGTATGCTAATCCATCATCGGAGAGTGGACAGGTACCATATTTAACTCCATAAACACAACAGCAAAAACTCCTGCCAAAATTCAAAGACATTATTTATAGACAGTTTTTATATTGTATTTAGGGAAATCTTTACAAATGGATCTCATAAAAAATACTGATGACCATCCCAAAGCTGTTTCTGACTCCTACTCGAATGCCTTGAACATCCTATAATCAGAGAAGAAAGCAGATGATATAAGATGTCAGTCCCTCCTTCAAGCTTACACATTAGATGCATATGTATGTTGATGTACACATAAACTGTATGAGCCTGGAGGTGTGTGTATATAAACACGCAAGATATTATAAATCAATGACTGGACAAATACAAACCACAATTCCTGTCCAGTCACCTAAGAGTTCCCACCTCTCACTTTCTCTCATGTCTCTCCCTCCCTTCCCCTCTTCAGTTCTTCCATGGTTTCCTTGGTCCTCATAGCACTCTGGGCATCTCACAGCCTCAGATACTACTTACTTGTAATTTTCTCCACCAGATCAGGGTTCTTGAAGACAGCCTGCTTCTTAGTATTTCCCTAGAACTACTATAAGTACCTACCACATTTTTGAGTTTCAACAAATACTTCTTGAAAATAAAGAGAAATCCCAGGCGTGGTGGAGCATGCCCATAACCCCAGTTACCAGGAAGCTGAAGCACAAGGATCTCAAGTTCAAAGTCAGCTTGAGCAATGTAATAACAGCTAGTTACAGTCACAAAATAAATAAAGGGCCGGGGATGTAACTCAGTGTGAAGGCACTGGGTTTAGTTCCCACTAAAAGGGGGCGGGGGAGTCATCCACAGTGAGGATACCCCTGGAACCTACTGCATTCTTTCACCTGAAGCTGTGTTACAGCTCAGATGAGAAGTTCCCAGAGAACATCAATATGCCCAGCTGAAAACTGACTGACGACCAATAGAAAACAGCAGGACATACCGAAATGGCTTTTCTCCTGTGTGGGTTCGAATGTGCTTCCTCAGATCACTGAGTGTGGTGAAGTATTTGCTGCAGCCTTCAGATTCACAGTTAAACGTCTTCCCTGTGTGAAGCCTCTGATGTGCTTTCAGCCTGCAAAATATCCCAGAGAAATGCCCAGTGGGATCTCTGCCTGAGATCAAGTGTGTGAGTCTGCCACACATTTCACCCAAAGAGCAACGGGAGAGCTAAACAACACAGCACTATGAGCAAGACTCCAAACTGCAGTGTGAGTCCTGGAGCTGCATTTTCCTGGCTCAGGACCCTGAGCCAGTCAGAGCCACTGTGCATTCACTTACTTATTAGTTGTCATGGGGACCACAGTGCATACTTCCTAAGTGTTACTATAATTTCTGTTATTTTATACCTAATATTGGAGACTATGTAAATTTCCCAGTACAAATGCAGAAAAGAGAAAAGCCATCAATGAGGCAGTTCATTTCTTCTTTCTTTTTGTTTTTAGACAAGGTCTTGCTATGTAGTTCAGGTTGGCCTTGAACTCAGTCCCAGGCTGGCCTCTAACTCTTGGCAATCCTCCTGCCTCAGCCTCCCAAGTGCTGGGATTACAGGTATGCGCCACCACACCCGGCTCCTCATTTTTAAAGGTAGAAAAAAGTTCTATCAGGGTGAGGTAGGAAAGAAAATTACAGAATCCTTAGTATAAAGATCCTGTGTCAAGGGGAGACATTATCGTACATCAACTACCTGTATGTCACTCCACGAGATGCAAAACTAGGCACAAATGCACTATCACTTGCGGCCAAGTCCAGATATATCCAACTCTAAACAGCTGCGCTCATGAATTTCAAAGCCCTGAAAGTGAGCACCTCTCCTGCTCAAGGAGAAAAGGCTCTGCCGTCACAGCAACATCAGAGTCAGGGGCTGGTGGCATAGTAGAGAAGTGGCTGACCTGTAGAGCGTGTTGAACGCCTTTTCACAGCCCTGCACATCACACTCAAATGGCTTCTCTTTCGTGTGCACACGCACATGGATCCTGAGGCTGTAAGAAGTGAGGAAGGCCTTGCCACAGCCCTCCTGATTACAGACGAAGGTATACTCTCCTCGGTGAGTCTTCTGGTGGGTGCGCAGGTTGCCTGCTGTGCTGTAGGTGCGGGGACAGCCCTCAAAGGTGCACTGGTACCGCTTTACCTGGCAGACAGAGGATACCTCATCAATAGGACAAAAGACCTCAGTTCTCAGGAGTTCCAGACAATACAAATGGGTTAGTTGCTTGGTTCTGTCAGGCTGCAGATGGAACCCAGGGTGCTCTATGATTGAGCTGCACACCCAGCTATATATATGCACAGTATTGGGGACTGAACTCAAGGCCTCCACAGTGAGCTATATCCTCAGCACTTTTTTTATTTTTTATTTTCAGACAGTCTCACCGGGTCACTCAAGATACAATCAATTTACAATCTTCACCCAACTTGCAATTGTCCCGCCTCAGCCTCCTGAGTACTGGGATTACAGATGTCCACTATCATGCCCAGCAGACTGCCCATGATTGACTCAAATTTGCATTCCTCTAGCCTCATCCCCTCAAAATGCTAAATTATAGACATTTTCATATGGGGCATGGGGGCACATACCCATAATCCTAGCACTTGTGGGGCTGGGGAATCACAAGTTTGAGGCCAGCCTGGATGACAAAGTGAGACCCTGTCTCAAAAAGGGTGCCGGGGGTGACTGTAGGGTCATCATTAACACAGAAAAAAACTCTAGTAGCAAAATGAGAAAACCATTTTGTAGATTAAATCATACCTGGATACTACATAATGATTATGGAGAAGAAATAAGCTTATGAGTAGATGAGTATTTTAAGTGAACGTAAGATTTTTCAGGCTCTGGTACACAACTCTTCTCTAAAGGTAAGCATATACCATTATATCTACCTGTATTCAAATAAAATCTTAAGTCAGGCTCAGATTTCAGTTCAAGCTCTGCCATTTAAGGCTTGATTAAACATTTCACCCTCTACCATTCTATCCTAATTAGAAATGACCAATGTTGACTTGACTGCAAAATATTCAGAAATGTACACAATTAACTACCAAATAGCATTTCCCTAGAGAGTTTCTACTACATGTTTTCAAGTCTGCAACAAAAAGAAAAATTATCATGAATTTCATAGACTATGTGGAAGTGTGATGATTTTCAAACCACCAATCTCTTTGCTTCCTTCTCAAAAACTTACATCCATGTGTGGCCTCCCTTTCCCACAATACCCATATATTCCTTGGCCTACTTGGCAAGCTGCCTCACGATATAAAAGTATTCTTTTGAACTGCCCAGTGGCCAAACTCTTTCATCTCTTCCTATTTTCCTTGACTATATGAAAATATACTCTATTAATGATGTGCTTTCCTTCGGTTGTGTTGTCCTTCACAACAAAGCAAATCACAGAGCACTTTATTTCCTTTTCTGGGATACTCCTTTCCCTTAGCCTCTATGTCTCTCATTGCATAAACCTGCCCCACATCTGTATGGGTACAGCAGACATAGCAACAGACTTGGCAGTAGAAGGCTGGATTCTGCCACTCATGTTCAATATAATTCTTATGTTGAGCTATGTTAAGGTGCAAGGCCTTGAGCACATCATTTTAGTTTCCTAAGCTTTAAGGTTCTTTATTTCTCACATGCAAATATTAATGCCTGCTTCTCACAGTGTATGTGTGTGCTTTGTTCTTTTTTTTTTTTTTTTTTTTTTTTTTTTTT